AAAGAAAACTATGCAAACCGTGCAAAGGTTTCGTTCCACACCATTTTCCGTCATCATTAGGATATTGTTGCAGCAACTTTGCATTTTGTAGCCTATAATTGTACACATAATAATTTAAATATGCCCACTGGCGATGACTGTACGAGAAGTATTATTCTAAAAATATTAGGTTCCCTGGTGACGCATCTGTCAAGTCGGCTGTTTCACTCATTTTATTATGATTTGAAACCTCTGATTGACCGATCAAAATCGAATATGTATTTTCCCAATTCCTGGGAGAATACAGAATGTTACTCGTATCACACCTGTTTGGTGAAAAAACAGCTATGACTAATAAGACGATGATTTATTTCTGTCAGAGATAATAGATGTCGGGGTATGTGGTAGAACACATTAATGTCCACACATTTATGTTTTTCAAGGCATGTATGGTCAGATGGACCGTGGCGCCGATAATATCAGTTCTCCGTTCCGTCACTGGGTTCCGGTATCACCTCATTATGGGTTCGACTACATGTTGCATATTAGTAATGCTATTGGGTCGGTGAGCACCTGGTGTTCCTGTGTCTGTTACGGGTGTCTTGATATTGTATTGAGCTTGAGATTACAACATAACACTGAACACAGATGTTTTTTACTTTGATGGAATCCACGAGTATAGGTTTTCAAGAATCAAATTCATTGCAAATATTTTGCTGAAGGTTTCGCTGGATCTCCCATTGTCATTGACTGCATGGAAGAAATACCACGGAGTAACATAGAAATGGTTTTGCTGTTCCGACCGTTGACATCCGAGCACATACTGAACAACACAGCTTGCTACAACAACTTCAGGTTCCTGGCTTCCCTCACGGGCATCTGAATGTCCATCTGCATCTCTTTAATACGGAGATAGAAGATTAGCAATGTGAGTTAGTCCTCAGGGACAATATATTCATTTCACGAAAGCGAGACAACAGCTGGCATGTTGCGTTCTTTGCATATTGCAGGTGAGATTAGTTGAAATGGGGTTTAATTTCGCGTCCAAGTTTTATTGCCCTTATGCACGCATGCACGTGTATGTGTGTGTGTGTGGCTGCTTGTTCTAGTCCGGACTATTGCCGTTTTAATAGTGCTGGCCCACTGACATACCATGTCGCATATTAGGATTATTACACTTATGTACACATGCACTTGTATGTGTGTGTGGCTGCTTGTACTAGTCCCGACTATTGCCGTTTTAATAGTGCTGGCCCACTGACATAACATGTCGCAGTCTAGGATTATTACACCTATGTACGCATGCACTTGTATGTGTGTGTGGCTGCTTGTACTAGTCCGGTCTATTGCCGTTTTAATAGTGCTGGCCCACTGACATACCAAGTCGCAGTCTAGGATTATTACACTTATGTACGCATGCACTTGTATGTGTGTGTGGCTGCTTGTATTAGTCCGGACTTTTGCCGTTTTAATAGTGCTGGCCCACTGACATACCAAGTCGCAGTTTAGGATTATTACACCTATGTACGCATGCGCTTGTATGTGTGTGTGGCTTCTTGTACTAGTCCGGTCTATTGCTGTTTTAATAGTGCTGTCCCACTGACATACCATATGGCAGTTTAGGATTATTACACCTATGTACGCATGCACGTGTGTGTGTGTGTGTGTGTGTGGCTGCTTGTACTAGTCCGGACTATTGCCGTTTTAATAGTGCTGGCCCACTGACATACCATGTCGCATATTAGGATTATTACACCTATGTACGCATGCACTTGTATGTGTGTGTGGCTGCTTGTACTAGTCCGGTCTATTGCCGTTTTAATAGTGCTGGCCCACTGACATACCAAGTCGCAGTCTAGGATTATTACACTTATGTACGCATGCACTTGTATGTGTGTGTGGCTGCTTGTACTAGTCCGGACTATTGCCGTTTTAATAGTGCTGGCCCACTGACATACCATGTCGCATATTAGGATTATTACACTTATGTACGCATGCACTTGTATGTGTGTGTGGCTGCTTGTACTAGTCCGGTCTATTGCCGTTTTAATAGTGCTGGCCCACTGACATACCAAGTCGCAGTCTAGGATTATTACACTTATGTACGCATGCACTTGTATGTGTGTGTGGCTGCTTGTATTAGTCCGGACTTTTGCCGTTTTAATAGTGCTGGCCCACTGACATACCAAGTCGCAGTTTAGGATTATTACACCTATGTACGCATGCGCTTGTATGTGTGTGTGGCTTCTTGTACTAGTCCGGTCTATTGCTGTTTTAATAGTGCTGTCCCACTGACATACCATATGGCAGTTTAGGATTATTACACCTATGTACGCATGCACGTGTGTGTGTGTGTGTGTGTGTGGCTGCTTGTACTAGTCCGGACTATTGCTGTTTTAATAGTGCTGTCCCACTGACATACCATATCACAGTTTAGGATTATTACACTTATGTACGTATGCACTTGTGTATGTGTATGTGGCTGCTTGTGCTTGTCTGAACTAATGCTGTTTTAATAGTGGTAGGCTACTGAGATACCATGTCACAGTTTAAGATGAATATCCAACTCAGTGTTTTGGTCTTACAGGGTATACAATTGAAAGCCCAACCTTCCGCTCTCCGGGCGGACGATCTACCTGTAGACCACTCTATGGAGGCGGTCGGATATTACAGAAGAAGCCATGGTTCTTTTACGACAGAGCCTGAAATGTTTTGAATCCGATGGATGGTATACATTCGTATTTTATCTTTAACTTACTAAATTTAAACGAGAGTGGGTGGGATTGGGTTGAACAAAGATACCTGCAATAGTTTCGTTCTTCATGTTCCACGATTGGTATGGTGCTCGCCAACCCAATAGCATTACCAAGATGCAACCTGCAGTCGAACCAATAATGAGCCGATACCGGAACCCAGTGACGGAACGGAGAACTGATATTATCGGCGCCACGGTCCATCTGATCATACATGCCCTGACAAAACCATAAAGATATGGACATTGATATAATAGACCAAAACCATGTCGCTTCGATCAATATATTTCTCTAACACTAAAGAGTTTCCAGTTTTTTTAGTCATGGTAGAAGGGAGATACGCATAATGTGTTTTCAATGTAGAGCTAGGCTACCGGCAGATTTAACCTCGTTCAATTTAAGATTTGAAATCTCATACAACGCATGCGGTTCCAAATTCAATTTAGCGAGGTGAAATCTACAAGTAACCTCTCTCCAGTTTTGAAGACACAGAGTGTTGATCTCCTAATTTATGCATTCGCTATACACACATTGCTTCAATTCAGACACCACTGGGTTTGGATCTTTTTGGATAATCAGCACATTTTGTCCGTGAATAATGCAGCTTCTAAATGCCAGTTTACGATTTATAACAGCATAAAGGTTTTCAGTTCGTAGATGAGTCATTGATTATTGTCTTTTCAGTTAATAGATACATGTATGGTTAACGGGGATTACCTCCCTTAGACCGTTACTCTCACCGTCGTGCGCTGGTAAATCGTATTATCTAACTATGTATGGGAGTCATTGATTATCGTCTTTTCAGGTAACAGATACATGTATGGTTAACGGGGATTGCCTCCCTTAGACCGTTACGCGCTCGTCTCGTCGTCGTGCGCTGGTAAATCGTATTATCTGACTTTGTTGCAACTTTATACACATGGTATTTCATTAAAGATGTGATTTAGATGTGGTCGTTAATTGTGATATATATTGGATGCACTGGATTCCATGACGAAATATGTACAATTTTAGATAAATCCCATATTTAGGTTTCTAATACAGTTCTGTGACAGAAAATACAGAACCTTCTGTGAAAAAAATATAGACTTAGATATACAGTGATATTGTTTACACATAATGTTTTGCAGTCGTTACATGTAAACACATATATCATCAGTCTAATAACAGTTCTTGCTGGCACATGTAAGACATGGAGTGTCACCTGCTGGAGAACTGGAGTGGCACCGGGGTTGCCAGAAACGATTCGGCTTGACCATGCGTTCAGCCGGAGTAAGTTGACCATTTGCTGACCTTTGTCGCTGGACTTGATTGTTCAGTTTAATGGTCATTAGCTGACAAGCTGAGCCTCGGAAACATATTCGATGTCGTCAGGTTGCAACCATGTGGCCATTTCAGTTGTCTGGTTTGTGGGAGAATATGATGCAATAAGAACGTTTTCAGACGTTTTCAGTTTTTCGAGAAGTTATCTTTGTAGGGATTTGAATGAAGTCTAACTTTGGCTTGGTTGTCTGATACCAAAAAAATGGCGGCAGGTTTTTCTCAATTGTATAAAACCAAGTCCCAGAGGCCAGTCAGTAGAATCATGGTCTCCTATTTTAATTTTAGAAGTGTGAACTGTGCTCGACAAGCAGCACTAATGTTGATAGACATGCAGTCCAAGGTAAGGATGTGCAGGATGTCCATGACTATTTAAAACTCAAAGATGATAAAGTACTATCCGAGTCAGGGATGTCCTTAAATTTTATATTGTAACAGTCACAATGTTTTATTTGAACGATTTCATAATGTTTAAACAAGTTATTCCCATATCGACGAATGTGACCTTATCTGCGAAACATCTGTCGTTCTATCACTGCAATGACTCACCGTAAAACAGAACGTTATCTAAGCCGGTAACGCCGGGTTGTACGGGTTGACACAGTCGTTCCAAGGCGCGGGAATGCACTTTGCGGAGTTGCACCCCTACAATGTTAGGTTAAACATGGCATATATTCCTGAAATAGGGGCATTTACATATTGCGTCACAATGTTAGTGATTTCCCTTTGAGTGTGCTGCCGAGAAATATTCCCATTTTATCATAAATACTTCTATCAGTTATATTGCTTTGTATAAAAAAAACATCATTGTAAATAACACAACATGAACAGATGCATAACAGAGACCGAACACTGATGTCATGGGCGTGACAGTGTGGTGACAGTGCACTCGTTTATCAAACAGGACTTATCACACTACCTGGTAAGCGTATCCGGGTGTCGCTGGGGACTATTGCACTTGAGGCCTTATCTTGATGTTGAAATAGGTCACATTGGGACGTGTATGTTGCAATAAATTGACAGTTTTTTCATGCGAGTGTCGCCATACACTCCAGGCAGACCACCGTGTACACAGGGCTGAGCTATTTCTGAATCTGGTGGTACAGGTACATTGTGGTGGGATATAGTAATCACTGTCTTCAGGGAGAGCGGTTGGCGACGACAGGACGCCATTATGATCATTTCTTGTTTCATTGGAGTATGTGTGCTGTTGTTTGGGCCGCTGGTCTCAAGTGAGTGTTACATATATTGGTCATAACATATTGTTCATATGTGAAATTGTAACTTGTAAAATGCATTTAAACAGGTTGTACATATAAACAGTATTGATTCCGTTACTTAGCACAAATTACATTGTTGCTCTGTCAATCGCATCAATGTAGTGTTTATATTTAGTATCATAATTTGCACGTACCATCAGTTCGGGTGATGTGATTATTTAAATCATAATAAGACACACCGTATGTATCTTCAGTTTGTGAATGTGTCTGAAAATGCATTGTATGCGATAGTCTCCTCTGTTCACTATCGGGTTTGTATCGGGTCGGCTGTTTAAACAAGATGGCGGACTCCGCTATTGTGTAATGTTTACTTCCATCCCCCTAGCTGCAAGTTTTATTCTAATCTGTAAATAATAAACATAATAATAATAATAATAATAATAATAATATGTTATTTGTTTATGTTAATATGAATAACTACTACTACTACTACTACTACTACTACTACTACTACTACTAATACTAATACTACTAATACTAATACTAATACTAATACTACTTCTACCATTACCACCACCACCACTACTACTACTACAACTACTGCTACTGCTACCACTACTACAACTACTACTACTACTACTACTACTACTGCTACTACTAATACTACTAATGCTAATAATAAATGCCGAATCAGTGTGGATGTTATTCCTCCAAAGTCGTAAGAAAGCAAATAACACCCCATTTAATTAACACCAGCCACTATGTAAATAAAAAGAAATGAGTACTGTGACATACGTTTCTTACAAAGAACATCGTGGTAAACCCGACCGTTAGTGTGTGCTCACTGGTGAGACAGGAATGCGTTAAACAATAATCCCAGGTGGTGTAAGGTAATGTGTTTTTTGGCATTCATCCTTTGTTCCCCTGGAAGTAACTTTCTACCCCGGAAGTAACTCTCATAAAGATTATCAGTGCAGCCACCATGTTCGACCTCGTAATCAGAACAAGTCACAACTAAATCTTGCAAACTATGACCTGAGTTGATAAAGACAGATTACAGAATGGGCTCAGGATGTAAAATTTGCTTTTGATTGATGTTGTTGACGTGTGCACTTGTCGAGTAATTAATACCGTTGTTAAGTGAGTGAGTGAGTATGTTTTACGCCGCTTTTAGCAATATTCCAGCAATATCACGGCGGTCCGTTGTTAAGCAAACAACAATCCCAGGGTCGCGTACATGTGTTTAAAGGAGAAGTCAACAGGTTACCCATCCTGTTAGCGTCGGCGGCTTCCTGGTTGCATGACAGACAGACGGACGGACGGACGGACGGAGGGACGGACGGACGGACGGACACACAGACCGACAGACAGACTTATCACAACACTGTTACATAATAAAATACCTATATGAGATTCTTCTAAAAGATATTCACATTTTAAGCATAGATAATAAGGACAGAAGCTGACTAGGATTTTTCCTTTTTTGTAAAATGCCATTGCAGGTTTTGGCGGTAACAGAACACATTATATTATATTTTGTACGTCACACTTGTTTAAGAGACTACGTCGCTCAACATTATACACAGGACAATTTAAAATGACATTGCATTCATTTTCAACAACGGCAAGACACTGAAAACACTTCCTGTCTTCTAACGGCATGTTAATATACCGTCCTAATTCAATTTGGATAGGCGCGGTGGCACATTAAAATTTAGCCAAAGCGCTTCTGTGGGCACGGGGCATAGGGCGGATGATATACTCATCAGCAGTATAGTCATGCTTTGAGCAATAGCTATAATCTAAGTTTATAACCTCCCGTGCGCGATGGACCAACAGGGTGTGAAATGGCATTTTTCCATTAGATTTTATGTGAATTAAAAACCAATCGTTTAACAATAAACCCTGATCTAAACAATTGCCTGGGGGAATAAAATGTCTCAAGTCCAGATCTATTAATTAACAATGAGTGCGGAAGTAAAGATTCTTCTTTATTCTGGTTGCTCCGAGATTACTCCATAGACATATTTTACGAACGATACGATCTTGGTTTATATTGCAAAGACGTTTCTATTGTCGAACCACACTTCCCCATTGGCGTACTACTGGTGGGGTCCATGCCATGACGCTGCTTACACCTACGTTTTGGACATACTTTGTCACAGTGAGAACAGAACGTATTGCACGATTCTGTACAGCATTAATATACGGCATATCATTCATTCACCACATACAAGATCCATATTCTAAAACCGAGCACACATCGTGTCATTTAACGTTGTAAATGTACGGTATTGCATAACACCATTTTCTTACGAAGTAAGGAAAAGAATTTATGGATAAACAACTTCTTTATTACTTTGTACTCCCACTTCTAAATGCCTATCAAAGAAGATATATTTGATAGTTTGAGATCAGTTAACCAAACGCTCTGCTAGCTGAGCTAGCAGCTGCTTTGCCATACGTGTATGGTCCAGATATTCTGTTAACAATACCCCTAAATAGAAGTAACTTTCCAATATGTGTAAAATCAAGTAAATGCGGAGTTCGTCTTCAAGACTTTGACTACAAATATTTTTGTTTTGTTATAACACCAGTCACCAAGATAGTCAAGCATAATGTTAATGTAATAAAAGTATGACTGATCGTTTGTTGGTACATGGCTCGCCTGTAATTACGGGATTATCGAATTGCCAAGAACGCTTGTTCAGTTGACTCATGAACATGTCCTAAAGCTTCATTGTACATGGGTGACATTTCAAACAACATGTATCCGACAGAATGTGTATTTTGTTTCCATTTGCATACAGGTAATATCAGTATGATGTGAATTATGTCCCTATAATCTCATAGAAAGCAGATCCATTACAACGGATATTTTTTGTCACATATCAGAAAACTTGCGAAATAATTCCATGCACTGCTAACTGTCGACATGTAGAGGCACGCAACTATGAAGAAAACGTTGTTCCAATTCTGTACAGTACTGGTTTTATATACAACTGTCAGCTATATATCTGTAAGAGTATTATTAATTTACCTTAACCGTTTTTCAATGCTTTCTTTAATAACACATACTTCATTATCAAAGGAACCAGTGTCAAGTAAGGAAATCTCTCATTACAATCCTTAGCTGTTCTTGAACTAGAGTGATGATAAAAATAATGTATACAATTGCATATATATAAACGGTAAACGTTTCCTTACAGGCGCGTGTAACGTTACGCTCTACGCTCAAGGGGAACCGCTGAATTTCACATCTCCCAACTACCCAGGCAACTACATGAGGTATGTAACGGGATATTCCTGTTCAATATAATTGTTATTCTTGATACGTCCGAATTTAATACAAACAGGTTGATGTTGTTTTGGTTCCAAACAAGCATTCTGTTTTTTTCTGCAGCAATGACAACTGCTATTGGGACATCTACCCTCAAACAAGAGGGTACAACGTTATACTCGACATGGTGTTCTCCGATATCGAAGGCTCATCCGGATCCAACTGTCCATATGACGCCCTTACCATATACGTAAAAAATAATGGTAAAATAATTAGTTTGTACATTGAAAACCTCATTTGTCTTAAATAGTCTCAGAAATAAATTATTATTGTTATAAGTAAAAGCAATAAGAATCGTTTGATTATATGTGGATTGGTGAAAGATGCTTTAAAAGTCAATCGCCTATTGGTTATTACATGTCATTGCAATAGTTTTTCATCAATCGTTTTCTGCTTATGTTTTCTTAATTTGTTAGTTACTCCGTCAAAGTACAACATTAACACGTTCTTGTTTCATGATGTCTGTAGGACATTTAGGAAGGCAGCTCATTGATATTCGCTAAATTTTTATTTTGACATTCCACGTTTTGTTAATTTGCAATTTTATTTAAGCTATTTCCAAGCATACTAAGATACATTAATGTTTGTAACTAGAAATTACTGATAACTGGCAATTACATTTTTTCCACCCTAGGTGATCAAAGGATAGGCGAGTCAAAAAGAATTTGTGGACAAAGCAGATTAAATCTTTTTACCCGTGAAGACCAACATATTCATGCAATGTTCGAGACTGATGGCAGTGTAACCAGAGGCGGTTTCTTAATTAAATATTATGAAACTGACGGTGAGTAAAACCATGACCTTGTTTGTAGCTCCAGTAACCACATGACCATCATGTTTCATTCATACCATAATAGCTCAGGAAGAGGCTTTCGCTTGCAAGACTCATCTGGAGTATATTTCTTGCAAATAATTTTGATATTTTACAAAATCAACATGTTGGTGTTTCATGTTGGTCAAATTCTAGTTCTTGTCCTCCTTAAAGTTTGAAAAATATATTTTCCTTGATGACCGCAAAGACCCATTCTGTGAGAGACTTTTTCCTTATTTAACAGGGTACCCACCACGGAGTAACTTACACCTTACGACTTGTCAGGCATCAGATTAAACATCCTTGAGAATAACAGGCACGATCTCATCTGTGTTTGCGTAAAATGACAAACCCCAATGGGATTTTTACGACGAACGACGTTAATCCTCTTAGTTTTAATCACTGTAGCTGTCAAATCGTCAAATTCTCGTTTTGTTTAATTGTGAATTATTTTGAATATGTTCGTTATTACATTTTGTTTTCCTTTATGTTAATTGAAGGTCACTCTTGTGGATTATCAGATCTTTCCGCCTCTTCTGTTGCATGGACGAACTTGACTTCTCCTGGCTATCCTTCAAACTATTCCAAGTAGGTACCTACTCACGTAACAAATGAGTAATAGTTAGTCAGTCAGTTAGTAGCTCTACTCAATTGACAAATAACACTGCAAGGGTGGCAAATAGCACCATACATGTAACGTGAAGGTAGCACTACACATGTGTCAAGTAAGTAGCACCACACACGTGACCTAAAGGTAGCACTACACATGTGACAAGTACGTAGCACCACACATGTGACGTGAAGGTAGCACTAGACACGTAACCTGAAGGTAGCACTACACATGTGGCAAGTAAGTAGCACCACACATCTGACGTGAAAGTAGCACTAGACACGTAATCTGAAGGTAGCACTACACATGTGGCAAGTAAGAAGCACCACACACCTGACGTGAAGGTAGCACTAGACACGTAACCTGAAGGTAGCACTACACATGTGACAAGTTCGTAGCACCACACATGTGACGTGAAGGTAGCACTAGACACGTAACCTGAAGGTAGCACTACACATGTGGCAAGTAAGTAGCACCACACACCTGACGTAAAGGTAGCACTAGACACGTAACCTGAAGGTAGCACTACACATGTTGCAAGTAAGTAGCACCACACACCTGACGTGAAGGTAGCACTAGACACGTAACCTGAAGGTAGCACTACACATGTGGCAAGTAAGAAGCACCACACACCTGACGTGAAGGTAGCACTAGACACGTAACCTGAAGGTAGCACTACACATGTGACAAGTACGTAGCACCACACATGTGACGTGAAGGTAGCACTAGACACGTAACCTGAAGGTAGCACTACACATGTGACAAGTACGTAGCACCACACATGTGACGTGAAGGTAGCACTAGACACGTAACCTGAAGGTAGCACTACACATGTGGCAAGTAAGTAGCACCACACACCTGACGTGAAGGTAGCACTAGACACGTAACCTGAAGGTAGCACTACACATGTGGCAAGTAAGTAGCACCACACACGTGACCTAAAGGTAGCACTACACATGTGACAAGTACGTAGCACAACAATGTGACACGTAAGTAGGACTACACACGCGACTTGAACGTAGCACTGCACACGTGACAGGGAAGTTGCAATCTACACATAAATTGTAAGTAGAATGTGAATTGTAAGCTAGGATAATATGTGTGTGTGTGTGTGTGTGTGTGTGTGTGTGTGTGTGTGTGTGTGTGTGTGTGTGTGTGTGTGTGTGTGTGTGTGTGTGTGTGTGTGTGTGTGTGTGTGTGTGTGTGTGTGTGTGTGTGTGTGTGTGTGTGTGTGTGTGTTTGTGTTTGTATGTATGCATGTAAAGTTGAATGTAGCAAGTTCTATTTGCAGGAACCCGAACTGCCAATGGACAATTTCTGCACCGGTTGGATATGAAATTAAAGTCGAAGTTGTGTATTTTAATGTGGAATACTCAACAGCTTGTTCAAGTGATTACCTTCTCTTCAGTGACGGTAAGCACACTGTACATATATTTTTTAAATATTTCAAATATATATAATCATAACTGTGTATATATAATCATAACTGTGTATTGCTGTATTGGTGTTTAACAAGTTCTGATCAATATCTGTATTATCAGTCCAAATTACACGAATCCGTTATAATTCAAGTTCACTTAATTTATGCTTATGCCACAAACCATACGACATGAGCAGGCCTATGAACAACTTAAGCCCCTCAGCTGGTTTCAGATACAAGGATTCATAATTATTAGTGTAATAAGTACTCATGAGAGATGATTGGCACAGAATATATTTATTCAAGCTTATGTTTGTATTGATTTCTGATCAATAACTTATAATATTAGCCTCAAGATGATTCGATTACTAAGATGTAATATAAGTGTCTAAATCGATGACATTGGTGAGTAAATATATTGATTTATTTATTCAAGGTTCCACGTCTTTCGCTGCTCAGTTAGGAAAATATTGTGGTCGTAGTAACATCACCAGGGTAGTCGTCAGTTCCAGAAACTACATGACCATTACCTTCCACACCGACGGCTCTGACACAGCACTAGGATTTAACCTGAAATACAAAGCTGGATATAGAACTACTACAAGTACAACTACTACAACTACTACAGGTGTGTGTTTACGGCCGGCTATTAAATAATCGGGGTCATGGTGTAAGGGATGTGGGGATGGTAGAATTAGATTATTTACTAGGTCACTGCTTCTAGACACACTTGAATCACATGGGACACAGTATAGTGTTACGTCTACAATAGGTGTTTGTGAAACAAAATATAATGATATTTGTATAAATATAACGATACATTTAGTGACAAAAAATAAACCTTTTCTCGTTTCTAAACTATGATGTCGTCATAAAAGTTATGAGTATTTTTACATGATGTTTGCTGACTAGTTATATATGTGAATTTAGAATAACAACAGGTTAGTTTACTTTTTCAATTGAAATATGTTCTACCGCTTTATAACCTTTAAAAAAAGAACAATTGTCCTTTCACTCTAGCTGTCTTTTTTGTTTCTATAGAAATAACAAATGGGCTTAATTGTGGCAGTCCTTTGCTCAGAGCCTCTACGTTCACCTGGAGACATTTGTCGTCTCCTGGTTACCCCAACCACAACTACAGGAAGTAAGTACATGTACATATGGACATCTTTGGTTGAAACCCCTTATTGATAAATGACATGTAAATATAATGACACCTTCGTGCCATAAGGTGACCAATACATTCAACTACCCTTCCAACCACAATTTTTTCCCGTTGTAATTTCCTGTACAGAGTTGCGGACCTACAAAAACATGCCTGGATCCTATGATGGTAGTTTGAAATCCTAGATTCTCCCTGATTATTATCCTTGATTTGTCCGCATCATAATCGTGCCTGTGAGTGTAACTTTGTGGTAAAAGTCTTAGATGCACATCATTTAAATCTTTCGCCTGGCATTTGAGGAAGCAGTCGACCTATATCCTAAGGCCGGAAGGCCTAACATAAAACATGACCATAATACATCACAACTGAACTGCACACATTGATAATATCCTGTAGTGTTTAAGAGCACCTCACCGAAGGACGTTAAATTGAACAATACTGCATTGAGATTAAGCAGCGTTTGTACATAACGCTTGATGGCTACCTTTAACTTACCTTCATCGCCGAAGATAAGGTGGTATTGTGTTAGCCGTGAAAGACTGGAACAGATATGTTTAGTTTTGATGATGATATTTACCTTGGTGATTTCTATTTGCCCCCAGAATACATCCAAATAAATGTTGTTGTTTTTCGAATTAGAGAGACAACTGATTGAAGGGTTTTCAATTTCCGAAAACTATTTTCAAAGGTGATTTTAATACCCGAACCAGTAGCCTATTTGACTACTGTATTTTGGATCTGCATATCGGGAATAAACTGTCTAATGACTTTAACCCAGATACTGTACTTATGAAAGTAAACTTACCATTATCGCGAACTTATGAAGCTGACAAAAGTGTCAATAATTACGAATATAATTTGATTTATATGTGTACATAAAAAAATGTATTCATTTCTGACGGCTTTCTGGGAAATGATCTACATTTTGGTCAATTCACATGCAAAGATTTGAGAGTGATTGATTATGTTAGCAGTCATTTTACTGTGTCTGAAGGGGGGTATTCGTGTTAAACTGCGGCATGGAATCTCAGTGGCCTCGCACTCTAAAATTGGCATTCTTCAGGACAAGTTCAGGGAGCCACACATGGTGGATGCACGTCGCTATATAAGTGCAATAATCTTGACTGCATCCGGTCATTGCACACTACGGTTTTAAGGTGCCATCAAGCAGACACCTTGAAATGATGATGAACTATTGTTGAGACACTACCATCACATTTTATTCCTTTTTGGACAAAGATCCTGCATAATTTGAACCCCTACCCTTGCAAATACCTGTTCCCTAGTCAGAGATGACTTCGAAATTTCCACACTTTGAATCATGTTCAGGTCACTTTCGTTTTCGCTTGAAGACTGCGTTGAATAATTGGGAGCATCATCACGATAAACCCCAGCAATACGGTGGACAAGGGATGCATTAATAATCTTCTCTTAGGAGAAACGTTACATTGATTTGGTGTTTTGCTCTGGTCATGTTCATGGCTTCAAAATGTCAGAATAATTACAGATAATTACCAGGAAGAACCACGTTGCTACGGACGGAAGAGTGGTGTCAAGGAAATTGCTTTCCAGCTAGCCCAGACTTATATTGCTGTCTAAGATTTTCGTGTCTTATTCTATTGTGCGTTTATGCGTTTGATCTGATTTGTACGTTTAATGATTACAATACATATTTCTTTGTAGCAACATGGACTGCAGGTGGACAGTTTCTGCACCTGCTGGATATAAAATAAAAGTTGAAATTATAGTGCTTTCTGTGGAATTTGAAGCCACCTGTGCATTCGACTATCTCCTCTTCAGTGACGGTAAGCAAAATGTTCAACGTTATGAAAGTGCTTAAACATCATCATATTGCACTTTGTGTTTAATTGGTTTGCAAGTAATATGCTCATTAATTAGTATCATTAGACTCAAGTTGACTTCATTACAGTATGTTAACGTGTATGTCTTTATTCTTTATTAATATATTTATTCAAGGCTCATCGTCTTTCGCTACTCGGTTGGGTAAATACTGTTATGGCACCAGAAACGTGGTCAGCTCCAGCAACGCCATGACCATCACCTTCCACACTGACGGTTCTAGAACGGACAGAGGATTTTCTTTGAAATACATGGCGAGGACGTCAGGTACCTATCTATATTGTTGTTTAAATGATTCCTCTATAACATTGAACTAACACTTCATAAAACACAAATTTACTCTCTTGTTTTGAAATTGACTATAAAGGTTCCAAACACGCTGAAATATAATTTGGTTCCTGTCAAGGTTTACAAAACAATGGTGGATATGTTGGATGTCCTGAGCTAAGAATGAGTGAAAAAGGGAACTGAATTTCTCCCTCTAACCAAATGATAAATGTTGAAGCAATCACTGTCTCTGATAAAATCCCCGTATATTTCTTGTTTTATATGCATACGTTTTAGGCTTTTGCTTTGTGTAGCCTAAACAGGAAACCAGCAAGGGATAATAACACAGTCAACCTACCATGTGTATTCATGACTACAATGTGTGTGGGGTTGGGGTGTGTGTGGGGGTGGGACTGTTTTGGGCATGGCCATATTAAATGGTGCTTTGGGCTGGAATTGATGGTAGAGATAGATTATTTACTTAGCCTTACGTCTACAATGATTGCTGCAAAACAACACAAAATCACATTGTTATACATTTAGTGACACGAGTAAACCATTTCACGTTTCTAAATTATTCAGATGCCGTGGGTCTAACACGGCCCTCGGAATTGATCGATTTTGAATAAAGATTAAATGTATTTATTGCATGATCTTTACTAACAACAGTAAACTACGGTTATAACGAACTCAAGGGGACCACACATTTAGTTCGGTATACCCGTAGTTTGTTATAAAAATATATACAACAAATGGCCAGGACCAAAACAACAGTTCGTTATATCCGCCAGTTCGTTATAAGCGTGTTCGTTATAAACGTAGTTTAGTGTAGTTGCATAAGTGAACTTAAATGAACAACAGGTTGATTAAATTTTCCAGTATAATATGTTCTACCGCTTATAGGGGCGGTCAGGGTAGCCTAGTGGTTAAAGCGTTCGCTCGTCATGATATTACTGCAATATTGCTAAATGCGGCGTAAAACCACACTCACTCACACACTCTACCGCTTATAACCTTGAAAGGATTTAACAAATATCTTTTCACTGTTGCTTTCTTTCCCTTTATATAGGTTCTTTGCTCAGCGCCTCTACGTCCACCTGGTCAATTTTGTCGTCTCCTGGCTACCCCAACTACAACAAGTTAGTACATATATACATCTTTGGTTGATGCCCCTTATTGATAAATGGCATGTTAATATAATATAATGACACCTTCGTGCTGCAAGGCGACCAATACATACAACTACCCTTCCTACCACGAGGGATCGAACGCGTGACCCAATAGTTTTTGTCGTGGCAATTTGCTGTGCAGAAAAACATTTCTGAATCCTATGATCGTGGTTTCAAATCCTAGATTTTCCATGACTATTATCCTTGACTTGACTGGCCTAACATAACACATGACCATAATACATCACAAATGAATTGCACACATCAATAGTATCATGTAGTGTTTATACACCTCACCGAAGGACGCTTTATCAGGAGAATACTCTGTTGAGGTAAAGCAGCGCTTGTATATATCTTGATGGCGACCTTTAAGCTTGCACAGCATGGCTCTCTCCAACTACATGAAAGGTAAGTAAACATATTCATAGGTCATGTTGGCAGTAAAATATTACTCGAATGTAGACTTATCAATATGTTGGGATTTCGTGTTCATGATGAAAAGAGGTGTACATCGAATAGCATGTCCTATGATCGTAGGTCATTAATTCACCGTTGTCAGGGAGCTGAGTTCCTACGACTAGGTTGTTAATAAAAGTAAATATCGAAATGAGAGACAATAGATTGGATAATATTATTAACACAGTTAATGTTATGGTAAATATTAAGATATCAGATCATTTTCCGAGTTATACTGCGTTCGATAAGTGGAAAATATATCCCGATATAATTTCTCAATTTATCTAAATGATCATGAGACATTTCTAAATGAATGGCAGTGTAATAGCTGTTTATTAGTTAACGATGATAATACTTTTCTATATGTTAAATTATTTCTTCTGCTGTATGGTGATGATACTGTACTTTTCTGCGAAAGTTTTTTTCCTTGCATGTGTCCACTGACACTGTGCACAATTACTACATTGATTGGAAATTATCAGTCAAATTAGAGTAAAATTGTTAGTTGGGTAAAGGGCTTCTAAATGTAAAATTCTGACATTTGTATGTGATGACAATTAATTTCATTCCATCAGCGATTTCAATTACCTTGGAGTTAAGTTTCACAGGAACCAGCGTCTAATAAGTGCAATCAAAGGTTTGTCAGAAAATGGTTCAAAAGCGATGTCTTCCTTACTAAAAAAAGCAAGAAATATAAAGCTACCACAAGACTGTTTGTTTTAAGCCTTCAATGTATTGGTAACACACATTCTCCCCCATGACTGCCAAATATGGGGACACGGAAATTTCGAAATGATTGAGAAATTATAACTTTTTTTAAATGACAACAAGACTTACATCAAAAGTGCCCAAAACTTCATGATTCATGGCGAATTTGGAAAATGAAAAGTATTTAAAAGAATGATAAACTTCTGGCATTAAACAGGAACAGGTAATCAGAAGCGGTAACACTCAGTTTATAATTATGTTTATCATGATACAAGAAGTGGGGAAATAATGTAAAACTAATATGTTAAACTCTTGTTGTTTATATAACATGATGGATAAACATTATTCAGTAACGACTTATAAGTGTCTCATATATACAGTGTTGAAAAAACAGTTTCATCAAGGATGGCGATGCAATGTCATAGCTAGTTCCATAGGCAATCTATAAAAGTATATTAAACATGAAAGATTATATGCAAGCTCGCTAAATATGCAACCGTATACTAGATATAATGACTAAATAAATAACACTCTAACAAGACACACTGACAGCTGTCATGGGGGTTCAATTAATTCTGCACTTTTACATGAGTGAGTAACCTAGGCTTGAAATGGACACTGTGGACCTGTGCCTAAGATATATATGTCTCGCGGAAACGAAATGATAGGAGAATATGCTCAAATAAAGATATCAGGTCTTAAAGACAAAGGTGCCCTGGACTAAAAAGGAAATACTTGACTTCCAGAATATACCAGCACATGTACTTCAGAACTTCTTGAGTTTCAACAATAAATAGGTGCTTGACCCAAGCTACAGAACCCCGAGGAAATTAGTTTTCTTGCTTGCCTCAATGATGTCATTATTGGCATACGTGATTATAATTTTAGGAGACAAGTAGTGCATCCAATAAAATAGATGCCCTTGCCTGTTGATGTTTGAGTGCGGATGGTGTTCCCATTGCATAGACACGTGTGTTGTTTCAGGATCCAGTATGTGCATCCCTGATCATCACCTGCTATTCCGGATAACGAAAATTATCTCTGTCCTCAAAAACAACAGTGACTTGACTGCATCCAGTCACTGCACACTAAGATTGTAAGGTGCCATCCACAGCAGACACCTGAAATGATGTTGAATTATTGTTGAGAGACTACATGACATATTGTACACTGTTTGAACATTTCATACTGGGACAGAGATTCTGCATCGTTTGAACCTCTACCCTAGCATTCTACCTCTTCCTTAGTCATTGATGCCTTCAGGTAATGCAAACTTTAAGTATTGCAGCTTTTGAATAATTGGGAACACCTTCACGATAAAGGAATGTAATTCTTTACCTTCCCTGGGGAGAAACGTTATGTTGGTTTTATATTTTGCTCTGGTCATATTCATGGTTTCAAAATGTAGAGGTGACATACAATTTTATATTCATTCCTTTTGAATCTCATCTGTGCTTACGTTTAAAGAGTACACCACATCATTCTTTGTAGCAATATGGACTGCAAGTGGACAATTTCTGCACCTGCTGGATATAAAATAAAAGCCGAAATTATAGCTCTTTCTTTGGAATATGAAGCCACCTGTGCAAGAGACTATCTCCTCTTCAGTGACGGTAAGCACAATTTTCAATTTTATGAAAGTGCTTTAATGAATGAAGTCATATTGCTCTTTTTGTTGATTTAGTTTGCAAAAATATGCCCAATAATTAATTTATTAACCTCAACTTGACTTCAACTCTCGTATCTTAACGTTTATGCCTAGACGACATGGGTTATTCAATGTATATATTCAAGGCTCCTCGTCTTACGACACTAAGCTGGGTAAATACTGTACTGGCACCAGGGACGTGGTCAGCTCCAGTAACGCCATGACTATCACCTTCCACACTGACGGCTCTGTGACAGGAAGAGGATTTTCTTTGAAATACATGGCCCGGACGTCAGGTACTTTCTGTCTCTGATTAAAATGACGATTATCTTGTCCCACTGGTTAACTGCATGAGTTATCCATATGCCCTAGCATTAAAACTGCAACATCATTTATAATAATAACAGAACCAAGGAGGGTGGTACAAGAAGACGCATTGTTGCTCTGTTAAAATGCCAGATAAAGTTAATGTTATGTTTTCAACATGGAGTTATTGAAAAGAACAAAACTCTAATTATCTTTCTTGTTAACACATTTCACCACGTCGATAACGTTGATGAAGGTATTTCATATTTGTAAAAAAATACGCGGTAATACTAGATATTTAACAGCTATGGAAAGTCATTGCCTAATCCCTTCTTTGTTGTGCCTCTCAACGTGAACAGTCCTGTTTCTCCTTGGACATCCTCATCATCACACAATCTAAACTCTACTCATGAATCAATCCAATGCTGTGTAACTATTCAATGTTTCAGGTTGTGGCACAGACGAAGAGATAAACGAATATGAAACGAAATATATTGTATCACCCGATTACCCTCTGCAGTATCCCAGGTGAGTATACACAACGCGGGTTACGATTATCACGGCCACAAAGAGGTACATCAAAATTCCCCGAGCGATAGGGCAACTACGAATTTACCTCAGCACCGTGTTTATCATTTACTACAATTTTAAACATGCCATACGAATCTGTAGTCTACATGGAAATGAATCCAAACGTCACTGACCAACAGAATTCAAGTATTCTACGTGTAAAGCAACATAAAGTAGAGCTGATTGAAAGCATATCATTGGAGAAACACAGCTGAGTTAGAAGCTCAGATGGTGTCTTTTGTATAGTTTGCACAGTTTACCATTTCTTTGGACATATTTCTCACAAAAACAAACGACTACCGAATATTTCCGTTCTTTGGTTTAAGTCAGGCATGTTTCATAGCAGCTGATGGATATGCAACATAGATAGACCCATGTCTACACCTTACCTGCAAAGATCCGGGGTAGAATAGGTCTTCAGCAACCCATACTTGCCGCAAAAGGTGACAGGCTAACTAACTTGGTTGATAATTGTCATCGCACCCCAATTGCGTTGATCAATGCTCATGAAGTTAATCACAGGATTGTCTGGTAGAGACTCGATTATTTTCAGTGCGGCTTTAAACAACGAACAAACAAACAAACATGCCTGCACCACAAGAAATGAATGTGAAATAAACCACGCCTGTACTTTCTTGTTCTTTGCAATTTATGTCGCGGCTATCTTATATTCACAATAGCTCAGATTGTAAGTTTGGTAATCTGAATGTGCAAAAAGATCATCAATATTGATAGCGTTTTACATAAGATACTCGAAATAGAGTTGGAACAAATATTAATAATATACTGTCGGAAATAGAAATAAGCTGATTTTTGCCCTTTTTAATATTGATTTTACAAAACATGTTTTTTTATCATTAATTATACAACAAAAGTTGCAGTACCTATGGTGTTAACTGCATCGATATAGGCAACGGGAAAACGGGGGAATTTAAAGTAGGATTGTGGGTTCCAATTGGATTACCTGCAAAAATTCTCTAGCAAAAAACAAACGAGATTAGTTCACCAAGATATGTGAAATATGTTTTATTTTTAACCCACATGAATTAACGTAATGGCGATTGTCATGTTCCACTGTTATAACGGCATGAATTATCCATATGTCCCAACATTCACAAAACACTTAGCTATGACTCGTTTCATGAGTAGAGATTGATGTATATAGGTATTTAGTGTTCGAGAGTGACTTGGGATGGGCTCAAGTTAACGACGACATGGTATTAACCGAACCAGGAAATCAGTATAGCACCAGTAAAGCACTGACACTCTATTCGCAAATAAAACAAATCAATTTGGGTCCTTGTAAACATCAAAACTTTGGAGAAACCATTAAACTTGACCCTCCTTTACGTGCATTTCAATTGCCTTTTTACCACATGTGTTTTGACTTATAACATAGTATTATACATGGAGACTTCTCACCTCAACCCCATGATAATCATTTTCGCCATTCATAATATTGTATTCAGCAGTGTGACACCGGGTATAGAATTAACAATATCTTTAGTTATCGCAAGAGATTGTCAGTCGTTCTTGAACCTATATGTTCGACAATTCAACACATGGTCAACAAACAAAACATAAATAAGAGCATAGTATTTGTTCATTGAATGTAGTGATCTTTAAGAAAGTCAACAGAAACACCAGAAACTTCCATGAGGGTTGTATTGCAATTCACGGAATACTGTGGCGAATTTGCAAAACTGTGGCGTTGCGTCATGAACAACACTCAGATCTTGCTACAATTCGAGTTTTGTAAAATATTTTACAATATATAACTTATTATTTATTTTTAGCAATGCAAATTGTTCATGGACAATCAGCACCCGCCTTGAAGGATATGTAATCCATGTCGAAGTGGTGGATTTCTTCCTGGAGCCTCACAGCCTGTGTTCCTATGATTATGTGCAGCTCTATGACGGTAATGACTTTATGATTTACAACCATTAAGGGCTTTCCTAGAATTGAGTAAGAGAGACAGTGTGTTATGCCCCCGAATAAGCGTCTCTATGTCGATGCGTGTAACTGTTTTTGTAAGACAAGTGTCATTTTATCATTGCAGTACATTGATGTTAATCCAGGTTATACCTCGTCGTTTGATTTGCAGAGTAGAACATGTCATCGACCTGAATCACATCAGCTTTTTACTCCCACTTTACACTAAAAAATGAAAATAAAATAGTCATGTGGAATAATTGAATATCATTCCCAAATATATGTTAAAAGTAATGCCTGTCTTAACACAGCTAGCATCCTAGCATGTGTATGTGATTTGTTGTCAGTATAACAATATCTTCACAATATAATACACATGTTCTATTCTTGCAATAGTCACTGGAACATATGAACGCTCGCTTGGTCGATGGTGTGGATCGAATGGACCAGATACACAGAGTACAGGGATGAGTATGAAGGTTCGATTCCTCTCCGATAGTTCGAACACCTTCAAAGGATTTAAATTGGCCTTCACTGCCGGAGAGCCAACATCTTCCCGTAAGTTTTTAAGTTGTATGCATTCTTTTTAAAAAAAATCATCGAATCTGTTAAGACAGGACGAATGAGATGCATCTATCGGCACCCCTACTATAACGTTTATGTCACGTCTCAGTCATTGTACATTTCCATTGTATCCGTGTTGATTAACATCTGCAGCGTATTATGCACCATACAGTATACTAAGTACCTTGTGCAGAACATTTGGGGTTAAACATTATACATACCACGTGTTTAGATGTCTGAGGAGTATCTTGAGGGTAGGGGTTGACTATGGAAGTGGAGGGGCGGGACACGGTGGTCAGGATGACTAAACTGTCACATATTCGCCCTGGTTATGTTTACGAGACCAGTGTCCATTCATTTCACATTGCATCAAGATGACTAATCTGTACATGGCTAAACTAGTTACAAAAGGGCCTTAATCTAAACAGTTATAAACTGTTTCATCGTTTGTGAATAATGTGTCACGGGTTGTAGAGGGGGTGGTTGTCGATTCATTGAATAGAACAAAACTCTAATTATATTTCTTGTCAACACATTTCACCACGTCGATAACGTTTGATGAAGGTATTTCATATTTGTGAAACATAAGCGGTAATACTAGATATTTAACAGCTATGGAAAGTCGTTACCGCATCCTTTCTTTGTTGTGCCTCTCAATGTGAACAGTCCCGTTTCTCCTTGGATATCCTCATCATCAAACAATCAAAACTCTACTCATGAATCAATCCAATGCTGTGTAACTATTCAATGTTTCAGGTTGTGGCACAGACGAAGAGATAAACGAATATGAAACGAAATATATTGAATCACCCAATTACCCTCTGCAGTATCCCAGGTGAGTATACACAACGCGGGTTACGATTATCACGGCCACAAAGAGGTACATCAAAATTCCCCGAGCGATACGGCAACTACGAATTTATCTCAGCACCGTGTTTATCATTTACTACAATTTTAAACATGCGATACGAATCTGTAGTCTACATGGAAATGAATCCAAACGTCACTGACCAATAGAATTCAAGTATTCTTCGTGTAAAGCAACATAAGGTAAAGCTGATTGAAAGCTTATCGTTGGAGGAACACAGCTGAGTTAGAAGCTCAGATGGTGTCTTTTGTATAGTTTGCACAGTTTACCATTTCATCGGACATATTTCTCACAAAAACAAACGACTATCGAATATTTCCGTTCTTTGGTTTAAGTCAGGCATGTTTCATAGCAACTGGTGGGTATGCAACATAGGTAGACCCATTTCTGCACCTTACCTGCAAAGATCCGGGGTAGAATAGGTCTTCAGCAACCCATACTTGCCGCAAAAGGTGACAGGCTAACTAACTTGGTTGATAATTGTCATCGCACCCCAATTGCGTTGATCAATGCTCATGAAGTTAATCACAGGATTGTCTGGTAGAGACTCGATTATTTTCAGTGCGGCTTTAAACAACGAACAAACAAACAAACATGCCTGCACCACAAGAAATGAATGTGAAATAAACCACGCCTGTACTTTCTTGTTCTTTGCAATTTATGTCGCGGCTATCTTATATTCACAATAGCTCAGATTGTAAGTTTGGTAATCTGAATGTGCAAAAAGATCATCAATATTGATAGCGTTTTACATAAGATACTCGAAATAGAGTTGGAACAAATATTAATAATATACTGTCGGAAATAGAAATAAGCTGATTTTTGCCCTTTTTAATATTGATTTTACAAAACATGTTTTTTTATCATTAATTATACAACAAAAGTTGCAGTACCTATGGTGTTAACTGCATCGATATAGGCAACGGGAAAACGGGGGAATTTAAAGTAGGATTGTGGGTTCCAATTGGATTACCTGCAAAAATTCTCTAGCAAAAAACAAACGAGATTAGTTCACCAAGATATGTGAAATATGTTTTATTTTTAACCCACATGAATTAACGTAATGGCGATTGTCATGTTCCACTGTTATAACGGCATGAATTATCCATATGTCCCAACATTCACAAAACACTTAGCTATGACTCGTTTCATGAGTAGAGATTGATGTATATAGGTATTTAGTGTTCGAGAGTGACTTGGGATGGGCTCAAGTTAACGACGACATGGTATTAACCGAACCAGGAAATCAGTATAGCACCAGTAAAGCACTGACACTCTATTCGCAAATAAAACAAATCAATTTGGGTCCTTGTAAACATCAAAACTTTGGAGAAACCATTAAACTTGACCCTCCTTTACGTGCATTTCAATTGCCTTTTTACCACATGTGTTTTGACTTATAACATAGTATTATACATGGAGACTTCTCACCTCAACCCCATGATAATCATTTTCGCCATTCATAATATTGTATTCAGCAGTGTGACACCGGGTATAGAATTAACAATATCTTTAGTTATCGCAAGAGATTGTCAGTCGTTCTTGAACCTATATGTTCGACAATTCAACACATGGTCAACAAACAAAACATAAATAAGAGCATAGTATTTGTTCATTGAATGTAGTGATCTTTAAGAAAGTCAACAGAAACACCAGAAACTTCCATGAGGGTTGTGTTCCAATTAACGTAATCATGTGGCGAATTTGCAAAACTGTGGCGTTGCGTCATGAACAACACTCAGATCTTGCTACAATTCGAATTTTGTAAAATATTTAACAATATATAATGTATTTTTTTAAATTTAGCAATGCAAATTGTTCATGGACAATCAGCAGCCGCCTTGAAGGATATGTAATCCATGTCGAAGTGGTGGATTTCTACCTGGCGCGAGACGGCCCGTGTTCCTATGATTATGTGCAGCTCTATGACGGTAATGGCTTTATGAATTACACCCATTTGGGATTTTCCTAGATTTGAGTAAGAGAGACAGTGTGTTATGCCCCCGAATACGCGTCTCTATGTCGACACGTGTAACTGTTTTTTGTAAGACAAGTGTCATTTTATCATTGCAATAAAACGACGTTAATCCAGGTTATACTTCCTCGTTTGAGCTGCAGAGTAGAAAATGTCATCCACCAGAATCACATCGGTTTTTTTTCTCCCACTCTACATTAAAAAATGAAAATAAAATAGTCATGTGGAATAATTGAATATCATTCCCAAATATATGTTAAACGTAATGCCTGTCTTAACACAGCTAGCATCCTAGCATGTGTATGTGATTTGTTGTCAGTATAACAATATCTTCAATATATCATACACATGTTCTATTCTTGCAATAGTCACTGGAACATATGAACGCTCGCTTGGTCGATGGTGTGGATTGGATGGACCAGATACACAGAGTACAGGGATGAGTATGAAGGTTCGATTCCACTCCGATAGTTCGAGCACCTTCAAAGGATTTAAATTGGCCTTCACTGCTGTCGAGCCAGCATCTTCCTGTAAGTTTTTAAGTTGTATGCATTCATTTTAAAAAAATATCGAATCGGTAAGGACAGGACGAATGAGATGCATCGATCGGCACCCCTACTATAACGTTTATGTCACGTCTCAGTCATTGTACATTTCCATTGTATCCGTGTTGATTAACATCTGCAGCGTATTTTGCACCATACAGTATACTAAGTACCTTTTGCAGAATATTTGGGGTTAAACATTATACATACCACGTGTTTAGATGACTAAGGAATATCTTGAGGGTAGGGGTTGACCATGGAGGTGGAGGGGCGGGGCACGGTGGCCATGATGACTAAACTGTCACTTATTCACCCTGGTTATGTTTACGAGACCAGCGTCCATTCATTTCACATTGCATCAAGATGCCTAATCTGTACATGGCTTAACTAGTAACAGAGCGGCCTTAATCTAAACAGTTATAAACCGTTTCATCGTTTGTGAATAATGTGTCACGGGTTGTAGAGGGGGTAGTTGTCTATTAATTATTATTGCCCTTTGTAGTTGAACAATTGGCAGTTGACACCTATACCATGCTGGTATCAATGGCTCGATAAATGTAATACAATGACAAATATGCGTGTATTATTACCTTCTGTGCAAACGTTTCCCCAGCATAAGAACCAGCAAGAAAAACATGAGAACCGCTAGATCTCCCTTTAACATTAACTTCTCAAGCAATCTAGAACCTTGGAAACATCAGACAGGTTAGGTTTGACATTATGAGGACGCTGTTGGAAGGTATAGATGCGTGGCATGCTGTAACAGAACGCAATAGAGTTATGAAACCACAATACTTTTGCAATAATGTAATTGTTGTGAAACGTTCAGGAATCTATTTCAAAACAATATTTAACGCACATTCTACCAGAGTTCTTATAAAGTCATGTAATACACATGTCTGTGACAGTCGTTCTTAGGGCAAGCTACAATATAAAAAATCACCTTGAACGAGAATATAATTATTATTCAGCTTCCGTGTCCAGAAACTTTGGAACAATACCATTCAATGAACTTAATAAGTGCGATACTCGTCTTTATTATAAAGTTCCTTTTCGTGTTGTTTATTTTGTACAGCGTCTGTTTCACCGAACCTTGGAGGCATAATTGGAGGGGTATTCGGTGGCATTGTGGGCGTTGCAATTGTAACGTGTTGCTGCTGTGGAATTTGCTCCAGGAAAAAATCCACAACCAATGACCAGTCGCAAGGGAACAGATCACGTGAAGTCTACCTGAACACCATCTACACTGTCCCAGTCTCAAACTACCCACCAACTACGGCAACTACCCTGCCGGCCATGTTTACTCCACCTCCAGCTTACAGTGAAGTCGTGAAGGATGACCCTCCACCCTACTGTCAGGCAGTGCCACTATCAGATATACTACCTGTTGTGACGTCGTCCTCTAATGGCGCATCTTCATATCAAGGAATAGATAACCCAGCAGGCCCTAGTTGAGTGACAGCTGCACATGATGTCCACGTTTTGTATTGCTGGAGTAAATAGAAAGGACACATACATGGACATTCCTTCACACAAATTAGCGTCTTCATCCATTTTAACATATTTGATTAAGAAAAATCTAATCTCCCTCCACAGCAAATAATAGCAACGTTAACAAATGTTCTGAAAACAAACCAAAGAGGTATAATTTGTATCATATTTTTAAAAAATGCAATTACCTGTATTCTCACATTATCTACTTCCCGATTTATTTGGGTCATGTGTGATGTTGATTGTTCAACTGTGCATAACCAAGGATCAGAAGTCACGTTTTACAAGTTAACGAACATTCATCAACTGATCGGTTTTACATATGCCCACCAGTTGAGTGACAGTTTCACATGATGTACATGTTTTTGCATTGCTGGACACATACATTGATACTCCTTCACACAAAACAACATATATTTTAATGAAATCCCTAAACTGCCTCGACAGCAAAAACTGTTCCAAAGAGGTATAATTTATATCATCGTAGGCCATAAGAAAACGCAGTTACCTGTATTCTTACATTATCTTGTTTCCCATCTATTTGGGTCATGTGTGATGTTGATTGTTGAGCTGTGGATAACCAAGGTACGGATGTCATGTTTTACAACTGAAAGAACATTCACCAACTGATCAGTATTCAAGAAAGACTATCACACTCATGCCACAAGCATGTCACAGTTATGAATGGATGATAACACAATGACCACGATGAGAAACTTTTGAAATTCATCTTTGTTGTCGTAGCATATACTTTTAATTGTTTTTGTTTTTTGTTATAAAATTTTAAATTTTGTATATCAAATGATGCTTGGTGTTGATGTTATGTTTATGTTAATGAAAACATGAAAGCTTGTTAGAAATCATATACATATTTTACAGTCAACGTGCATGTGCGCGTGCGTGTGCGCGTTCCTGTATCTGTCATGGGTGTCTGTGCTTATTGAACACAGATGTTTTTCACTTTGATGGAATCCGCGAGCACAGGTATTCAAGAATCGATTTCATGGCAAATATTTGGCTAAAGGTTTCGCTGGATGACCCATTGTCATCGATTGCATGGAAGAACTACCACGGAGTAACCTAGAAGTGGTTTTGCTGTTCCGACCGTTGACATCCGACCACGTATTATACAACACATCTTGCTACAACAACGATAGGTTCCTGGCTTCCCTGATGGGCATCAGCATGTCCATCTGCATCTCTTTATTATGGAGATTTGTTGTTTGATGTCATTTTGGAATCATCTTATTTCCCTGAATCATGGAGTACAAGTACCATAATCCCTTTGTATAAGTCAGGTGATCAATCTGATCCTTATAATTATAGAGGTACGTGTATTTCCCTTTTAAGCACTTGAAGTAAACTTTATACATTAGTTCTTAATGCAAGATTAGTATTTTGGTCAAATTCGTATGACAAAATTAGCGAGTCGCAAGCAGGATTTCGAAAAGGATATAGCACAACAGATAATATTTTCATTTTACATCTGTTATTCAACACTACCTTTCAAAAAAGCGTGGTAAGGTTTATGCGCTTTTTGTGGACTTCAACAAAGCTGTCGACTTTTTCTAACAGATCTAAATTATGGTTTATATTAAAATACACGGGAGTTTCATCCAAGATGTTAAATGCACTTGAATCTATCTCTAGTTGTGTGAAGGGGTGTGTTAAATGAAATAACATATTATCTGAAAGTTTCGATTGCCCTTCAGGCCTCAGGCAAGGCTGCGTGTTGAGCCCATTTTTGTTTTATATTTTTATAAATGAACTTGCTGAACAAATAGATCTTCATGTGCGCCAGGGGTGCAGCTGCATCCTGATATCATACAGGTATTTTTGCTGTTATTTGCAGATGATATCGTCCTTTTTGCAGATACTGTCTATGGGCTACAAAATCGAATTAATGTTTAAAGTTGTTTTTGTGATAAATACCACTTGTCTGTTAACTCAGCTAAAACTAAAATCGTTGTTTTTAAAAAAATGGTATAAATTTATCAAGAGTCGAAAAGTGGTATTTTAACTTGAATGTGTTTCATGTTACAAATACTTGGGATTATTATTCTCCAGATCACTACTGTGGTCTGCTCATGTTAAAAGTTAATCAACTTAGGCAAAAGAGGTTCTGTGTGGAATTATTAAATCATTATATATGTTATATCCATTACCTCATGATCTATTTTTAAGGATATTTGATTCCCAAATCAGCCCAATTCTATTGTATGGCTCTGAAGTTTAGGGTGTTCATAATTACGAAGAAATAGAAGTTGTAGAAATGTTTGCCTGTAAGAGATGTTTATGTGTTAAGCAGTCATCCGCAAACCACGGTGTTAGAGGAGAATACGGAATATACCCACTATACATATTTGCATTTAGACGTGTTGTTAAGTATTGGTGGAAAATAATTAATATGCCTTAATCACGTTTGGTAAAGAAATGTTATAACTTATTATTGTAAGGCTGTAGTAATGGTAAAATTAACTGGGCATCAAAAGTAAAACACATCCTATTCTCTGCTGGTTTTGGTTACATATGGGAACAACAATTCATAAGTAATATCTCCAGCTTCTGCCGGAAATTTTACTCTGTCTAAAATTATCTTATGAACAAATTGGCACGCACCTCTTTCATCAAGCTCAAAATCAACTCTTTACAGTTTATTCAAAATAAATATCGGCTTAGAAACATATTTAAAAAAATTACCAATTGTTAAATATAGACGTGCCCTTGCGCTACGTAGATGCTGTTTCCATCAGCTCCGAATTGAGACTTGGAGGTATAAAAAAAAGTTAAAATCTGAAAGGTTATGTCTGGCTTGCAATCAAAATCAAATTGAAGATGAATTTCATTTTATAATAATTTGTGATCCATATGTACATTTAAGACGAAAATATATACCCAAAATGTTTTACCTGTACCCCTCCATACATACGTTTAACATTTTAATGGCATCAAATAATGTATTAATCATTCAAAATCTATCCTATTCATCTACAAAGCAATGAAACTACGTCTTGTACAAATCACCTAAAATTTACTTTTGTCTTATAATGTTTCTCTCTCACTGTATACTCTGTAATGTATAATGGTCATGTGGCCTGCAATACCTAATGATAAAGACTATATAATATAGAGATGGATGGTTATTAATGTGAGTTAGTCCTCAGAGAAAATATATTCATTTAACGGAGCAAAACAATAGCAGGCATGTTGTGTTCTTTGCATATTGCATGTGAGAACAGATGAAATGGGGTTTAACGTCGCGTCGAAGATTATTGCACTTATGTACCTATGCACTTGTATGTTTATGGGGCTGCTTGTACTAGTCCGGACTGTTGCCGCATTAATAGTGCTGGCCTACTGAGGTACCATGTCGCAGTTTAAGATGAATACCCCACTCCGTCATTTGGTCTTATGCAGCCTATGATTGAAAGCCCAACCTTCCGCTCTCCGGGCGGACGATCTACCTTAAGACCACTCTATGAAGGCGGTCGGATATTACTGAAGAAGACTTGGTTCTTTTACGACATAGCCCGAAATATTTTGAAACTGATGGATGGTATACATTCGTTTTTTTTATCTTTAACGTTCTAGATTTAAAAGAGAGTGAGTGGCATTGGGTTGAACACGGATTCCTGCCCAACCCAATAGCATTACCAAGGTGCAACCTGCCGTCGAGCCTACAATGAGCTGATACGGGCAGCCAAGGGACAGCAGGGAGAACTGATATTATCGGCGCCACGGTCCATCTGACCATACATGCCCTGACAAAACCATAAAGATGAGGACATTGATATATTCTATCTCCTCCCGAGACATCTATCATCTCAGACAGAAATAAATCACTCTCATTAGTCAGAGCTGATTTCTTTCAACAAACAATGGTAATACGAGTAACATTCTATATTCTCCCATGAATTGGGAAAATACTCGATTTTGATTGGTCAAGCAGAGGTTTTAAATTATAATAAAATGAATGAAACAGCCGACTTGACAGCCGCGTCAATGGGGAAGCTAATATTTTTAGAATATTACTTCTTGTACAGTCATTGTCAGTGGGCATATATAAATAATTATGTGTACAATTATAGCCTACAAAATGCAAAGTTGCTGCAACAACAATATCCAAATGATGACGGAAAATATTGTGGAACGAAACCTTTGCACGGTTTGCTAGTTTTCTTTAGGTGTGCCCACCTCATTGTAGCTTACAAAGTTGATGTGCTAGCTACATGCTTTCAATGTCTGCCATAATTAGAGTGAAGTATATAAAGAAACTGCTTGAGTATAAAGAGTGCCATGTTTTGTTTAAAGGCTGCTGTTGTCAGTGATTCATTAAATTCGTATCGACAACCGGCTCAAAACAAGAGACCCAACCCATGCCATTTGGATCAATATATGTTTCTAACACTAAATAGTTTCCGTTTTATTTAGTCATGGTAGAAGGGAGATACGAAATTTGAAATCTCATGCAACACATGCGGTTTCAAATTCAATTTCGCGAGGTTAAATCTACAAGTAACCTCTCTCCAGTTTTGAAGACACAGAGTGTTTATATCCTAATTTATGCAGTCGCTATACACACATTGCTTCATTTCAGACAGCACTGGGTTTGGATCTTTTTGGATGATTGATGCAGTTTGTCCGTGGATAATGCAGCTCCTAAATGCCAGTTTACGATTTTGGTTTTATCACAGCATAAAGGTTTTCCTCTATTTGTCCTCATTACGTTTGCTGGGTCAGCAGGAGAAATTTAGTACGGCTAACATGTTTCATTTGATAATAATCATACATTTGCTAAATGTAGGATGTATGCAAAGAATATATTGGGATAATATTATCATAATGATATTATTTCGGGGCAGAATCAGTTCCAGAACCTCGTGTTTGTTGTACCAGTGACCACTGAGATCAAGACGGTTACTGTGGTGGCTCACTCTGTCACGACCTCACCCTTGCTGTCATCCGTCGATGTGAAGCCAATAGTGATATAGCTGGGCTATAGCTGACATAGTTGTAAAACAACATTCACTCATTTACTCACTAACTCTGAATAGTTATAAGTCAAATGGATGCCTGAAATAAATAAAAATACACTTTTAATATATTGCATCTGAAATCAGGAACACCTCGATGTGTATGCTTCAAATTACGATTACACTCTTAATCCCGAAGTCCAATATAAACACAAGGCAGCCCATTTCTGGTGTCCCCCGCCGTGTTATTGCTGGAATATTACTAAGAGCGGCGTAAAGTCATACTCACTCACTCACTCACTCACTGCATTGAGTATGGATGTTGCAGTTAGCGTAAAGTGGTCTTTTGAAGAATGTGTACCCAGTATTTGTGGCATGGGTTCGTTGCTTCAAAACCTGAACATCAACCTTTTGTACACCCTTGATTATACAGTGTGTTTCTTTTCAATAGGTTAAGATAGTTAGCATTCGGGTAGTCCCACGCCGTTGATTGTTCTTTATATTGGTCACTGGAAGAACATCGGAACATATAAGAATCATGGTTGATAATCCATGGTGAAGGACGTTACTATGGACACCAAGCAGAAGCCAATAAAATGTTGCGATAATCAAACTGAAAAAGACTTTAATCAAGTACGAATATACAAGCTGTATTTATGTATGTATATATGTCTTTATGTATGTATGTATGTATGTATGTATGTATGTATGTATGTATGTATGTATGTATGTATGTACATGTATACTGTAAGTTACTAATCTGAAATTGATCATGAATTGAATATGTACTCTTTACTTCCTTATACATTGTAAATAATTGCTAAAGAGGATG